GTCTCCCCCGGGAGCTGAACATACGAGGAAAGGGCTGTCGGGAGGGGATCCAACCGTATGGAACTAGAGCCACAGCAGACGCTTTTCTGTTCCTGGGCAACTGCACTGAGCTTCCCCGACGTGTCAGGCCAGGGCTAGGAGGAGCAAGGCGATCCGCTCAGCAGAGGACAGGCTCTCCCGGTAGGTTGTGCTTTGGGGTGGTTGAGCCCTCCCCAGGGGGACGTGTGGGCAGGCCTGGCGGAGCTACCTGCCTGGGGGGCAACCACGGAGGAGACGGTTCCGGGCGGGGGAGACCTCTGCTCTCATCCTCTCCAGAGGCTCGAAGCCCCCGGGTTGGACTGTCAATGGCTCCGGCAGGGGCTTCCCAGCTTCTGAGCTGAAGACCTCACTGCCTTGTTCAGTTGTGAGCAGGTCCCGCGTGACAAACGTCCTCCGGGTTTTGAGCCGACATCTGCCTCTTCCAGATGTGGTAGGCGCCCTTTAGAAGTTCACGGACTGCTCACAGCCTCTCTTGCTCTGTTCTGAGCCACCTCCTCGGGGAAGCCTTCCCTGACCCCTCCTCCAGACCCGGGAATTAATCCTTTTCCCACGTGGGCTGCAGTGACACTTGGTGTTGCCTCCTTTCAAACACTGAACATATTGTAACCTGGTTATGTCTGTCTCCCAACCCCCTCGCAGGCTGACCATGAGCCCCCTAGTGAGAAGTTGTGTCCGTAATTGCTATGTTTCTCCTTCTGGCCCAGGGCCCCTCTCACTGTGGGTCCTCAACCAATCCTGGCTGCATCACATGGGACCCAATTCCCCCTCCCCACAGGTGCTCCCAGTAACTCTCGAAACAGTCTGTTCTAGAATTTTCTGGCCCCAGTTTGCAAGTTTCTGTTTGCCTGTCTGCAAGTTTCTGAATCTGTTTTCCTCCTTCCCATCACCACCTCCATCTCTCCTGGGGCCCGGGTGAAACAAACCTTCCCCGTCCAATGAACTTTGCCCTCTCCCTTGCACCCTAGTCAGCAGGATTGCCAAACAACAACCAAAAAACAAAGAGGCTGGGAAAGCAATTTATCAAGCCCTTCTCTTGTGTCAGACGGTTACATTATTAACTCAGAACAGCACTGTGAGCGGATATTAGCTCCATTTGACAGGTGAGAAAACTGAGTCTCCAGGTACATAATGTCAGAGGTTACACGTCATGGCTAAGAAGACAAGTCCCTGCATCCCAGGGAGGGGGCAGACACATGGGAGTCCCTCTGGAGCCCAGAGGTTCAGCGAAGTATTAGAGGGCCCAGAGGGGCACAGAGCAGAGACAGGTGACCCTTGACCTGAATCTTGAGGGACGATTTGGATTGGCCAGGCGGCTGCGGGAGGGGATGAGCTGGCAGGTGGGGGGCAGCCAGGGAGCCCCTGAAGGGCCTCAGATACTGAGCTAACGATCTGGACCCTTAGCTTGTGGACACTGGGACCCCCTGAGGTGGGGTTGTGGGGTTGGCAGGGGAAAGTCGGGGTCAGTGACTGTTTTAGAGACATCCCCCCTCCGCCCAGTGGCAGCGTGGATGGTGCACTGGGAGTACTGGGGGCTCCAGGACCCTGTTGTCATTCCGTGAGAGGCAGGGAGGCCCTCCTCTCAGGCAGGTGTCCATTCACTCCTTCCCCAAGCATTTACTGAGCGCTAAGAAGTCCCAGCCACTGGGGATCCACTGGTGAGCAGGAGAGGGCAGTCCCTGCCCACGGTCGACTCGTGGCTCACAAGCTATAGCTGTGGGGACCGAATGGAGAAGACTGGAGGAGAGAGATTGGTAGCATTTATTGAACACTCACTGTATACCAGCCACTCTACCTCGTTTCACTCACTGAGCTCTCACAGTAACCCCACGGTCTAGGCAATGCCATTAAGCCCATTTTGCAGTTGAGGCACACTGAGGTGGCCCCCTCATGAAGCAAGTCATACTCTCGATACAGACACGAATACTGACCCATTGGCTGAACAAGCCGAGTCTTCCCTTCCAGGGGCGCACTCACATGGTCCACAACACGAAAGACACCCTAGGAGCCATGTGAGTCTTGTATGAGATCTCAGCTCAGCACAGTGAGCCCTTTTCTTAAGGCCGGGGAAGCAGGGAGGGCTTCCTGGAGGGGGTGCTATTTCAACTATCACTAAGGGAATAAAAAACCTATCTGTGAGGGGTGCCCGGGAGGCTCAGTTGGTTAAACGTCTGACTTCAGGTCATGGTCTCGTGGTTCCTGAGTTTGAGCCCCACATCAGGGTCTGTGTGGTCAGCATAGAACCCCTTTGGACTCTCTGTTCCCCTCTCTCTGTGCCCCTCCCCCACTTGTTCCCCCCTACCCCCACCCCCCGCCCTCTCTTTCTCAAAATAAATACACTTAAAGGAAAATCTATCTGTGATTTACCAGTTCAGGAACACTGCATATTAGCTTGGTCTGACTCACAGAGTATTTAAAAACAATTTGACTTAAAGAAACAAACAATTTGACTTATACTCTGGTTTTTCTTCAGATCCTAGAAGTCTTTTGCCCTTGACTAAAGATCTCTGTGAAGAGGAACAAGTCTGAGTGTTTATCCAATTTTTTGAGGCAAAAACCAAACCAAAACCAAAACAATTTGACTTAGCCATATTTTAAGATGTTGAGATTTCATGCAGAAGTTCAGGTTTCTGGCTTCTTCAGTAAAAGTAAGCCTGGCTGCAATTTAAAAAAAAAAAGGGGGGGGGTGGTGGGCAGAGCCGTACAGCCGGGTGCCGGTCCAACGTCTTTTGGCTCAGGTCATGATCTCGTGGTCCATGAGTTCAAACCCCACATCAGGCTCTGGGCTGACAGCTCGGAGCCTGCTCGGATTCTGTGTCTCCCTCTCTCTCTGCCCCTTCCCCACTCACTTTCTCTCTCTTCTCTCTCTCTCTCTCTCTCTCAAAAATAAACATTAAAAAAAAAGTTTAAAAATTTTAATTAAAAAAAAGAAAAGAGAAAAGTGAGCCCGGCCGCCCTGATCACCACTTCCCAGGTGGCCATGGGCTGGAGCCAGCCCTGATGACCCCATTAGAGACTGCAGCCTTCCTGCTTCTGCTCTACCGGGCCACGCCCCCTGCATCACTACCGCGCCTGCCCGGAGCACATGATCCTCCGAGGTTGGGATGACCATTCCCACAGGAGTGGGAGGAAGCCAAGGTCAGGGTCAGAGGGGTGGAGTGGGTCTAGTAATGTCAGCGGTGGTTCAGCTACCCCAGCCCCCTGGGAGAGCGGATCCCAGCCACAGGGAACAGCATGAGCAAAGACAGAGACAAGCAGGCACAGACTCTTCAGGGAGCAGAAAGGGGGGTGTGAGGCTGAGATATAATGGTGACAGTGGGGACGAGTGCTGCCCTGGCTGCCATTGCGCCCTTAACCCTGAGCCATCTGAGCCATCCCACAGGACTCTGGGACTGTGTTTTTTAGACCAGGCTCTGTCATCAAGTAACTGAGTGGCTTTGGGCAACTTGCTTAAGCCGCTTCAGCCTTGAGTTTCACTCCTATGAAATGGGGATGGTGACAGCTGCCCTTCTCATCACAGGGAGGGGCTGGGAGAAACCCCATCATGTATGCACACAGGTCAGCTTTGCCCCCTTGGGAAAAGGAGGGGCTGTTACTACTTAGATGATTAAAAGCCCCGCTTTGCGCCTTAATCACTCTTAGAGCCACGGTCCCCTCCAAGAGTGGGGCTTCTTTCAAGAGTCCCCGGGGTTCCCTGGCCTCCTCCTCCCGCCTCCTGTCCAGTTATCTCTCCTTCAGGACCCTGGCTTCTGCCCACCCTCCTACCATCTTCTCCTGCCCTCCAGGGGCCCAGCCAGGCAGCTCCAGAGCTAGGGAGGGCGCTCAGGACAAACCCGTCCTGCCCCAGGACTTTTCCCCTCCTCCCTCCCTCGCTCTACTCTCTACTCCAGCCTCCACACTCTGTCCCCTCAGCCAGTCTGTTCTTCCCCAGGGCCTGCAGGCTCACTCTCTCTTTCCCAGGCCTTTGCTCAGATGTCACAGGTCAGCGAGGCTTTCCTGACCACCTTATTTCAAATGTAATGCCCTCCCACACCAGCCCCTTCCCGGCTTCATTTTTCTCCTTAGCACCTCTCACCAGCCCACATACTCCATATATTGTTTATCTATCTTGTTTGGGGTCTGTTGCTCTCCACTGCAGTGTAAAGCACCAAGAAAGCAGAAGATTCAGTCTTTTCTTTGCTAAGTATCCTCAGCACCGCCTACCTACAAGGTAGGGGCTCCATTGAGTATTTCGTGAATTGAATTGTCAGGAGTGCGACCAACCATGAGTTAGCTCCAGGTTTTATTGTTTGGTGGTGGAGGGGGGCTAAAGACCCCAGGGCCCTGTCCTGAGCTTCAAACTCACACCAGATGTCTAACCCACCCCAGGCTCAGAGTGGTCAAGTAACTTTCTCAAGAGCACACAGCCAAGAGTCGCTAGAGTCGGATATTGACCATCGGTCTCCCTGCTCTCTGTGTTGCTCGTAGTAATGGGGATCAAGCTGAAAACTCGTGATCCTTGTTACTAAACTATGTTTTCACCCATTCCATCCTGGGTCAGGATGCCCTAGTTCAGGGGCTATCTCTTCCACGGGTCAACAGGCTTCTCATCTCAGAAGGAGGCACGTTTTATTCATGTTACCCTCTCCCCAGAGCCCAGCACAGGTACATGTGAATGTCCGAGTGAATTAGTGAATGAAGATGTTCTGTGGTGTCAGAGGACGTCAGGCACACCAGGGTTTTAGTCTTGGCTCTGCCTCTGACTAGCCATGTGACACTGGTAAGTTAATTGTCCTTAGTTGCTGTGAAATGAGGATCTTGGTACTTAGCCCTTTGGGTTACTGTGTCCTGATGAATGTAAAGATTCTGGAACAGGAGCTGGCACATAGTGCAAAATAAATATTAGCTTAAAAGGGGGGGAAGACTAAAAAAAAGAGAGAGTTGTGCATTTTGTGAGTGAGTTCTACGTCAGTGGAAGCGAGCAGATGGAGGCTGAAAACGCCCGGACATTTCATTTCATCCGCACAGGTACTACTACCCTTCCCATTTTACAGATAAGAAAAGTGAGGCACAGAGAATTTAAGTCTTCTAGCCCGACATCTGGGTCAAGACCAGCCTAGGGAACTGTAGAGGGGATGCATCGACGGGAAGGAGGTCAGAGGGAGACAGCCCCGCCAAGTGCCAGCCCTCTGATGGTCCCCCTGGGAACCCAGACCCAGCAGCTCGGGCTAAACGTGCGGCCGGTCCCGCGCTCGGAGGCTTCTGGGCGCCGCCCGCCTCCGCCCCGCCCCTTGCCCTCGGGTGGTCCAATCTCACAGCCCTTATGTAAATGAGGCACCTAGAGAGAGCCTATGCGCGAGCGGCAGGGGAGTGGTCTTCGTCCACCTCCCGGGCAACGTTCTGATTCATTGTTAAAATAGGAGCTGTGACCCCGGCATCCCACCCGGGTACCTCCTGTGCGTGGAAACCCGAGCCGAGGTCAGTAGTACTGCGCTGCGGAAGGGGGGGGGAGGGGAGCGGGGAGAGGAGGCCGGTGGGGTAAGGGAGAGGGGCGAGGCATACGGAGAGGGACTGGCTGACCCGCTGGAGAGGTCCAGGAGTCCATTCTCCGGGTGGGGCATGAGTGTCCGCTGAAGGTTTCCCATTGTTACAGCCACACCTAATGTGCATTTTTGAGCATTCTGCCAGTTGGTTGGGATTAAGGAGGAGGAGGAAGCGGGAGCAGTGAGGGGCACACGGAACAGAGCCCCCATCCGCCCCCAGGAAGATGAGCGGCGTATTCCTTCTCAGGCGATGCTCCTTTATATGGCCAGACCAGGAAAGAACCGCCCAAGCTGGGCGGAACCGGTTCGCGCCCCCTCCACCACTGGGGCAAGGGACGTCTCCGGGAGATGATGGCCCAAGAAGGATCGAGGGGCAAGTGGGTACCCCCCTCCAAAACACACATACACAACGGGCCCTGCCACCTCCCCAGGTCTGATGGTGGAGAAGCCAGGAACCTTCAACCTGGCTGCCCCAGGGGAGGATGAGAAATTCCGCAGCCCCCAGCTGAGATTGGCAACCAAGGCTTTATCCCCTGGTAGGCTTTGCAGGAAACTTGCCAGGTGAGGACAGGTGTGTGGGCTGGTGACCTGGGGGCACTGCAAGGTGCATGGGATTTGGGGAGATGGGTTCCTCTTCTGTCCCACCCTCCTCCTGGGGCTCTGTGTAGGTGAGGAAGGGATCTTCAAGTCACTCTCGTCGGGGCATCCCCCCTTCCCCCCTGCCAGGGCGTGGCATTGGAGCTCTCAGTGGCCTCCCCCAGATGGGAGAGCTCTGTGCTCAAGTCAGAGCACCAGTTCAGCTCCTGGGACCTAGAACAAGGTATGGACCCTTGGTGAGTCTTCGATGCCTCATCTTAAATTGGCATCGGCTTTATCTACAATGTAAGATAACCGTGAGAAAAGGCACTAGAACTGCAAAGTGAATCACCTGAGAGAGACTTTTAACAATGCAGCCAAACTCCTCCTCACACCTCCAAGAGATTCTGACTGGGTGGATCTGGGGAGGCACTGAGAATTTATACATATATATATATATATATATATATATATATATATATATATATATGTATATGTAGAGAGAGAGTATATAATATATAGCATATATATATATTATATATATAGTTATATTTTTTTTTTTTTTTTAAGTAAGCTCTGTGCCCAGCATGGGGCTCCACCACAAACGAGATCAGGAGTCACATGCTCCACTGATTGAGCCAGCTAGTGCCCCGGAATATGTGCATTTTTATGAGCAGCCCGCTGAGGCTCCAATGCAGGTCCTTAGAACAGACTTTGAGCAATACCAGTGGTAATGATCAGAAATCACATGTCTAAATGCGCAGCAGAGTGCCTGGTGCTTAGGGTGGGTGCTTCAGGAGTGTTTAAAAATTTTTTTTATTTATTTTGAGAGGAGACAGTGTGGGTAGGAGAGGGAGAGACAGAACTGGCAGGTCCAGGCTCTGAGCTGTCAGAGCTCAAAGCTGGCCCAAACTCCACTCAACTGCGTGAGATCGCGACCTGAGCTGAAGTCTGACACTTAACCGGATTGACACGAGGCTGCCCCGGGAGTGTTTATTGAGTGAATAAATGAATGGGATGATGACCTTATTTCTCGGTCCTTGGTCTGTCTTAGGGGCAGCTGAGGCCGGGTTCGTGGTCCACCAGCCAATTATTCTGCCCTTGCCTGCCCTCTTCTCTTCCCTGCGTGGCCACCATCGATCGCAGGAGCTGCCGTGGCCTGACTCAGCCAATACGGAGGGGGTGCTGGGACTGTCCCTCAGAACACTTTGAGGCCAACGGCTTGCCCAGGGTCAGTTGTCAAAACTGCTTTCACCCCAGGAGGCCCATGAGCCAGGAGCCAGGCAGGCCAGCCCTGAGCGGGTGGTGTTCTCAGATGGGATGTTCAAGATTGCCCTTCTGGCTGGGCCACTACCATGGCCAACCACTGGCTCTCCTGGGCAGAACCTGTTCTGCCGCCTGTTCCACGAGGTGCTGGGACTACAGTACGCTTCCAAAATGTGAGCTCTCCTCCTGCTTTTATGATTTTTTTTTTTTTTGCCATAGCCTCATGCAATCTAGTACTTACTTTATTGTTCTTTAAATAAACACCCTTTTTAAACTTTAGGTTGAAACACAACTTATATCATCCCTATAAATGAAAACCGATCATATCCTTTATATAGAAGGCTAAAAGGAAGCAAATCTAAAAAAAAATCTGAAACGCTTTAAATTCTAATTAGAGAGTTCTGTTTGGCTGAAGGCCGGGTTCTGAGCCTGAAGCTTGCTGTCTCTCTGTTGCTAAAGGGAGATTGGAAGGGGTGTTAGTATTAAGCACCCCACACCTACAGGGGAGACTTTCTCACGTATTGAAGGAGCCAAAGGACCAAGTTTCTTTCACTCTGGCAATCCTATGGTCTAGGTTGCTACCACACGAACTCCAGAGTCCTAGGGAGAAGCAGGGACCTGTAATCTCCCACGGACTTCTCCAGCCTTTGACCCTCCTGCCTGCCTCCCCCACTCCTCGGCCTCCCCATGCCAGTTCACATTCCCAGGAGATCCAGTCTTCTTAAGGCTAGCAGCCGGGTTTATGCAGGCCAGGCTCCACGAGGTGGCCATTACAAGGGGAGCGTTGCCTCAGCTTTTGAAAGCAGGCAAGCCAGAGTTCCAAACCTGGGTTTGCTCCTTTACTCTGCTGTGTGGCCTAAATACTTATTCTCTCTGGCTCCACCCTCCCACTGTAAGGCAAGCGCAAGCAACAGGGCTGCTCTCAGGCATCTGGCACCGCAGCCCAAGTCACATGCATCCACACATTGCCTCTCTCTCCACCTTCCTGACCCGGTAGTCAGTCTGAGGATTCTTTCTTTACCTGTCTTGATATCCACACAACAGCTCTCACCCCTGTTCCCAAGTTCAGGAACATGCCCGAAAGCCCTGCGGGTTCATCTTTGAGGCATAGATGCCCCTCCCAGCCGGGGCTGGGGAGATGGCATGTGGGAACAGGAGGAGAAGCTTAGATACAGACAGGTCCAAGATTCTAGAGTCAACTCAGGCCACTTCTGGCTGAGACTCTGGGCCACCATGGTTCACACTCGTTCATACTGAACGGTGCTTAAAAGGTGCCAGGCTGCTATTACCTTGAGAGTATGCAGAAGGGCCCAGGTCCCAGGGCACCCTCTCCTTAGCTGCATTTCAGGCTCCTCTAGGAACCTGGGTCCTGGATGCCTCTGCTCTGCCTCAGATGAGCTTTCTATAGCTGAGAGTGGATTATCCTGAAAATCACATGGGCCACCAGGGGTCAAGGCCAGGTCTGCACGAGGAGCGTGGAGGGTCCTGCCACCTGCCAGGCACACATCTCTTCTGCAATGTATTTATTCTTTTTTTTTTTTATGTTTATTTTGAGATGTTACAGAGAGCCAGGAGAGGTGAGCAGGGAGGCAGAGAGAGAGGGAGACACAGAATCCAGAGCAGACTCCAGGCTCTTGAGCTGTCAGCAGAGACTCGATGCTGGGCTCAAAACTCATGAACGCTTGGTGATCATGACTCCTGAGCGAAGTCGACGCTAACTGCTGGAGCCACCCAGGCGCCTTGTCTTTTTTTTTTTTTTTTTAAGTTTTATCATTTAAATAACTTACACTTCTATGTGGGGGGGCTCGAATCACAACTCGAGAACATGAGTCACATGCTTCTGACTGAGCCAGCCAGGTGCTTCTCAGCATATTCTTTTTTTTTTTTTAAATTTTTTTTTTAACATTTATTTGAGCAGAGAGAGAGCATGAACGGGGAGGCCAGAGAGAGGAGACACAGAATCTGAAGTAGGCTCCAGGCTCCTGAGCTGTCAGCACAGAGCCTGATGCGGCCTGAATCACGACCGTGAGATCAACCGCACCTGAGCGGGCCGGATCGCCAACCGACTGAGCCACCCAGCCTCAGCATATTTATTCCAGTTTAGCATCCTATTGATTTAACACTAATGAAATTCTCTTTAATTTTACATTTTTATTATACATAAGATGTGAAGGCATCCTGGGTCCTGTCCTAAGCTCCTTAAGGCATTAACCCGCTTAATTCTCGCGGACTTCAGAGGGAAGCTTTTACCACCCTCGCTTTTGAGATGAGAAACCCAGGCTCAGAGGGAAAGCCACTAAGCTGAGGTCACCCAGCTGGGAAAATGGATAGGATTGGGGCCTGATGTCTGCCTGAGGCCAGAGTCTGCATGACCCAGCCAGACAGGAATCAGAGCCAGACTGGCTACTGACTGCCTAAGGGAAAGTGAGTGTCAGGGTCAGGTGAAAGTGAGGAGTGGAGGTGCTGACAGGCGCATGGGGTCCTGCTGGGCCCAGCTGGGCTGGGACTCCCTTTGGTACCCCTCAGCTTGCTCCTCTCCTCATCCATGCGGGCAGGTCCCTGTAGGGCTGCCAAGGCTTCAGGCTGGGCTGTGGATCTGACAGCCTCCGCTGCTGAGTTCTGATCAGAATCTGGGGCAGGGGCTAAACTGAACCCAGACGGGCCTCCTGGCCCGGCACGACAGATACTGTCTGACCTCGGCGCTGCCCAGGCCCGGGCGGCTTCTGTAATCCGGGGCAGTCTCTGCTTCACCCTGAACTGGGGTGGCTGCCAGGGCTCCCGCCCCGGCGCTGAGTCTGTCCCCGGGAGCCCGTGCTCAAGTCAGCCTCCAGCCTGCCTCAGTGAGCTGCATGGGATCAGGTTCCTGCCTCATGCTGTCCCAAGACAGGCGGTGGCTGGGCCCCTCGCTATGAAAGAGCAATGAGGGCTCTTGCCCAGCCCGGGCCTCTAAGGTTCTCACATGCCTGCCACAGCCACCTCACCACGCCCAGAGTCACATAGCCTGGGAGGGGGGCTTGAGCCTGAGCCCCTGGGATTTGAGGGCGCTGGGATAGCCAGTCACATCATGAGCCCGCCGCCCAGGTAACCTGCGAGGAGGCGGGGTGCAGGGTGCTGTGGCCGCTGTCTCCCACCTCCAGGGAGGGCCCGCCACCCCGGGGAGGTGGGGAGGAATGGGGGGGCCTTCCCGGAGGTGAGCGGCCGTTCCCCCCGGGTGAGCCCGGCACCAGCCATCGCAGGTGTGGCTCTGCTGAGTGCGAGGGAGGGACAGAAGGGCCTTGGGCTCAGGGCCCCACCCGCCCCCCTGGGGCCTGGACCCTCCCGCCCGCCCCACCCCCGGAGCCCCCTGCCCCTCCTTTAGCCCCGAAAGTCTCTCCTTCCGCCAAGGTCTTCCTCAGACCTCAGACTTCCTTTTTCACCCATTGCCTTCAGTCTCCAGGCCGGGCTGGTCCTTGTCCTCACCCTCCCCTCCTCACCCTTGTTTTCCAGCTACGGAAGACCCCACCCTGCTTTTGCGTCCCTTTGTTTACCTCCCACCCTCCGGCACACACACGTCCGCGTGCAGCAACACGCATGTAGTAATGAACTTAACGCAAACGCGTGTGTCAGCGTACCCACTCCCCGGACTTGCATACGCACGCACGTGGGCCCGCTCGCACCCGCCCGGGCTTTTGTGCAAACACATACCTGTCCACATACATGTGCGTGCACACACCCTCTATCTCCGCCAGCCCCCCGGCTTGGGTCCCAAGAGGCGCTTCCAGCCTGATGGACAGCTCTCCTTGAGAAGCCTGAGATCCCAGGAGGAGATGCCTGGACACTTCCATCCGGCCTGGTGGGGGGAGGGGCTGCGTGGTGGGGAGGGGAACCCCCACGTGGGCCAGGAGCTGCCTCCTCTCTCCAACTCTGCCCCAGGAGCCGGGGAGCCCTCCAGGTGCTGAGGTGCCTTACTGCGACCTGCCTCGCCGCCTGCCTGTCTCTGAGGGTCCTCTCGGTTTCTCGACCTCCGGCTGCCAGTCCGTGGTGGGCCTGGGCCTTGGGCCAGGGCCAGAGAGGTGGGTAGAGCCCCAGGCTTGGGGAGAGGCTCCCGAGGGGAGGATGCCCTCACCCGCCCCCATCCTGCACCCCTTCATGATGGCAGGATCTGTCTGTGCTGGCTGCCGGTGTGGGTCATATGGTCAGGTCACACGGCCTGGGCATAGGCAGGCAGTGGGCATGTTCCTGGGGCCCTAGCTCAGTTTGCTCTGGGGAATGGAGCTGCCAGGCACCCACCCCGCAGGGGGCATGGCCCCCCACCGCTCACATTTCCTGGTTCCCTTTGCACAGCTTTAAAAGATTAAACAGTGTCAGCACTGGAGGGGGGCGGGGGCGGGGCGCGGCACCTGTTACCACCCACCTACCTGCTCCAGGCTCCGGGATTCCCTCCACGCCCAGGCCTGAGCTGAAGTCCCTCTTTAGGCCAAGGTGCCTTGGGAGGTCGTGGCTGAGGGTCCGGAAACCTGGGTTCCAGCTTCAGTTCCATCCCTGATGGGCAAAGGGAGCATGGGCAAATGTTTCCCCTCCTCCATGCCTCAGTTTCCCTGTTTAGGAAATAAGAGGAATTGAATCAGATTGGCTTTGCTTGGGGAACATGCATTCCTCACAGGGAGGTATTATTTTAAAAACAAAACAAAAACCAGCTCTGCCATCAAATATGTTTCAGAAAGGCTGGGATAAACAGATTTGAATATCTCTCTTGCAAGACTTGTCAGCACCTTTAGTTTGCTAGCGGGCCTTGGGCTTTGGGGTAGGGGAGGTAGGAGAAGTGTGTGGTATGTCCGAGACTCATTTGACCACAGACCTCTTTTTCACGGCCATTATCCCTTTCCATCTTATAGGTCAGTCTGTGGGTCACTCTTTGGGGAGACTGCCATCTGTAAGCCTTCCCGGGCCTGTGGCTGTCCTGACTGGCTTCCTAAACCAGGGCTTTACTTCACAACGCAGCTGTAGCCCTTCCTAGCTCTGTGACCTTGGCCAGTCCCTTGACCTCTCTGAGCCTCAGTGTCTTCATCTGTAAAATGGGCATCATCACACACGTTTCAAAGGGAGACTGTTGTAGCTGAAAGAGCCGGTCCATGTGAAGAGCCCAGCACAGAGAGCCCTTGGTGTTAGCTCCCTCCTTTGCTCTAATGCGAGGTGTGTGTGTCCCTGGGTGGGGGTATCACTCCCTAATTCCCATGACTTTTGGGGGAAGAAGTCATAGGTCTGTCTCTTCTCCCAGGGGCCCGTCAGCAGGGTCCTCTGCAGAGGGCCCCACAGTCGCCCCCAGGAGCCAGGGCCAAGAGGCAGTGCCCTACCTGGAGGGTCTGGCCTCCTCTCTGAGCGGCAGCTTCGACGAAGGTCCCGACTCCGGCACCAGCTCCAGCCCTGAGTGCAACACCCCTGATGATCCCAGCGACTCGTCCTCCGTGGTGAGCTGGGGATGAAAAGCTGGGGACACCATCGCCCCTCTGTGCCAGCCCTGGGGTCCTGCCCACAACTCCAGACAAGGGCTGAGCCTCTCACACCAGGGAGCCGGGCCAAGGTCCTCTGGAGATTTAGCCAGCTGGACCAACCGCCTGGGAGGGGTGCGGGGTCTCTGCAGGGCGGGCCCAGGGGGCTGGGGCTTGGCTGTGAAAAGACGGAAGGAGTTTCAGGTGAATCACCAACCGGGTCAGCCTTCCAAAAACTCTCAAGGTCACAGAGGGCCGGGATGTCGGGCATGCTGCCTAGACCTCGGACAGAACTGGTCCTGAGCCCTGTCCTGGTCACACACCACTGAACTCCATGACCAGCCCTGGGATAGATCTCCGAGGCACAGAGGAAAGGGAGCAGGCTGGGGGGCCCAGGGAAGGGCTGGGGGCCATCTGCCTGGGAGCTTCCGGGGGTACTCACCCCTCAAAGGGCTGTCACAGGGCAGAAAAGGCAGGCTATCTGTGAGACCTCCAAGGGGAAGTGATGGGATGGCAGGTGTGGGTTCAAGAAGACTCACCACCCGCTCAGAGGTAGAGACTTTTATGGCCCCATTTTGGGGCAAGAAAACTGAGGCTTGGAGAAGGGAAGCAACTTACCTAAGGCTACCTATCTGGAAAGTGGAGGGGCGAGGCTTTGACCTCACTTCTCTCTGGACCCTGGGAGTGCCTCTGGGGACTGGGGGCTGCTGTGCCACTGCAGGGAGTCCAACTGCCCTGGGTTCAAGTCCTCCTCCCACCTCAACTGTTTCCCAGCTGTGTGACTTTGGGCGGAGTTCTGAGCACCAACATACATGCCTGCCTCGTGGGTTGATTGAAGGTTAGCTAAGTTCGTGCCTTGAGGAGCCCAGCACAGTGCAGGGCATTCAGCAGGTGCTCTTTCAATGTCAGTGCCTTTCCCTTCCTTCTACCCGTCTCGTGCTGGGGGCACAGGCCCAAAGGCTCCAAATATGCTTTTCCTCCCTTCCCCGGCAGGACTGGGACACTGTTGAAAGGCAGGAAGAGGCTCCCAGCTGGGACGAGCTCACCGTGATGATCCCAAGGAAGCCCCAGGAGGGGCCCAGAGCTGACAGTGCCCGAAGGGTTCCATGTCCCGTCACCCGGGCCCCTGCGGGAGGAGATACCGCAGGCCAGAGAAAGGAAGGTGAGTCCTTCCAGGCCAGGTTGGTCCCCGTGACCACAGGTGTGGTGATGGCCTGAGGCCTGGCCAGATCTCCCTGGCCATCTGGGTCCCCTGGCACAGCTTACTTTGGTGACCCGAGTAATCGTAACAGTTCCCATATAATTGAGGAGCGGCCATGGTGTGCCATACATCAGCTGTATTTATTTTTATTATTATTTTTAAACGTTTATTTATTTATTTTTTCAACGTTTTTATTTATTTATGGGACAGACAGAGACAGAGCATGAACGGGGGAGGGGCAGAGAGAGAGGGAGACACAGAATCGGAAACAGGCTCCAGGCTCCGAGCCATCAGCCCAGAGCCCGACGCGGGGCTCGAACTCACGGACCGCGAGATCGTGACCTGGCTGAAGTCGGACGCTTAACCGACTGCGCCACCCAGGCGCCCCTTTAAACGTTTATTTATTTTTGATAGAGAGACAGAGACAGAGTGCGAGCAGGGGAGGGGTAGAGAGAGAGGGCGACACAGAATCCGAAGCAGGCTCCAGGCTCCCAGCTGTCAGCACAGAGCCTGACGCGGGGCTCGAACTCACGGACCGCGAGATCATGACCGGAGCCGAAGTCGGACGCTCAAGCGACCGAGCCACCCAAGCGTCCCCGTGCTACCTGCTTTAGATACATCATCTCACGACTCGTTGGTTAGGATCAGGTTGCAATTGACAGAAACTGGCTGCACATAAACGGAATGACTCACATAAGTAAAAAGTTTAGGGGTTTGTGACTTCAGGCATGGCTGCATCCAGATGTTCAAATACTATCAGAAATCTGGTCTCTGCTATGTTTCCTTCCGCGCTGCCTTCATTCTCCCCCAGACCTTCCCCCAGTCAGGGCACAATGAGCAATATCAGTACCAGGCTGTATCCTATCTGCATATCAGCTCCCAAGACAGAGGGTGCAGTCTTCCCATAGATGTTGCTCAAGTCCCAGGAAGGGTTCTCCCTGGGACCCAGCATGGGTCATGTGCCCGTGCCCTGGTGATCAGGGATGGGGTCAGACCCCTGTGCACACCTCATGGCCTCAGAGCGGGGGAAGAGATTGCCCAAAGGAAATCAGGGCGACGTTGTGCGCAGAGAAAGGGAAAAGGCTACCGGGCAGGCCAGGCCCCCAGATGCCCATGGCACTGGTTAGCATCTCGCTGACTTGTGAACCCAGTGTGGGTGATGGGAGCGTGTGGAGCATGGGAGATGGGGGGAGAGGAAGCCCGTGGGGGCGGGGGGCCACCCACAACCTGCACCTCCCTCCAAACCTGGTTTTCCTGCAGTCTGTTCCATGTCCCCGGCATGCTGGAAGCTCAGGCCCCAAATCGTGTGCTTTCCCGATTTCTCTCTTTTCTTTACCCTTTATATTCAATCCTCAGCAGCTCTGGTTAGCGCCACCTGGGAAACACACCTCTCAAATCTGTCCCCTTCTTGTCCTCTGCGCAATACTCGCTGGCCCAGCCACCGCTGCCCCTCGCTGGGATTGTGGCCAGAGCCCCCTCAGAGTCCCCGCTTTGCTGCCCAGCGCTCTTCCGCCCATTCCCCACAGCAGCTGGAGCCATCTTTTAAAAACATGAATCAGGTCTTGTCATCACCCCACCCCCACTGCCTGGCCCTATCAGCACTGGGGAGAGGGTGCATGGGAAGAAGTAATCTCACAGGGAACACAGGGAGCCAACTGCCTCCCTGGAATGTGAGTGGCCTGATAGGCAAGTGGGATTTTGTACGAAATACCTGCTCTCTTGCTTCTAACACGGAGGCAGTGGAGTGGGCGCAACTCACTGTGTGACCTGCTCGGTCAAAGTCAGTCACCACTGTCCTCCCCGTAGCAGGCTCCCAAACTGCAGGCAGGGCCCCCCCCCCCCCCCCCCCCCCCCC